GCCGGAGCGCCCGCCAAGGGGCGTGGTCGTTGGGGATAAGAAAACAAAGGACGGACGGACGCCGACGCGGCGGACCCGCAGCCTCCGGAGGCGAGAGCTTCCGGACCGGCTGCGCGCAAACGTTGCGGCTCGCGGATGATATAGAGTGAATGTACAAGTAGACCAGGCGCGGTGCGGCAGCGGGCGGCAGCGGCGGTGCTCGGCGCCGCGGGAGGCGGTAGCGCGCGTTGGCCGCGGCTTATTTGGGGGGGCGGCCCGCCAAACGCCCCAGCGCCGCCCGCCCCGGCCAGCGCCCCCTGCCCTCCGCGCCGGGCCGGGCCGGGCCGCGCGTCCAGCGGCGTCGACCGCCCGCTCGGCCCGGCGCGGCCGGCGCAGCCGGCCCGCACGGCCCGCGCGCGCGCCTTGCCCGCGCCCGCGCCGCGCGTTACTCCACTGCAGTGGACCGTGCAGGCGCGCGAGGCCCGCGTCGCGTCGTTGCCGCGCCGCCGCCGCGCCCGACGCGCGGTGAGCGTTGCGGGGCGCGGGCCGGGGGCGGGGGCGGAAGCACAAGCGGAGCGCGCCGGACTCGGCGAAACATGTCCCTCCGCCTCCCGCGCCTGCCCTCGCGCGTCCTTGCTTCCCCCGGGTGCTCTCTCCACCCTCGCAACCCACGCCCCGCCCCTCCCCACCGCGGCCGGCTCATCGGCGCGCGCCGGCGCCATCGCGCGCCGCGCCGCCCGCGTCGCTGGGCAGCCTCCCCTCCTCGCTGCTGCCGCCGCCCTCGCTCGCCTCGGGCGCCGATGACCCGTGGCGGGACACGACGGACGGAGTTTTTCTGTTAGTGGGACAGAGCGATCCCTTCCTCGATGGTTGCGTGGAGGACAGCGCTTTTTTAAATTTATGTTATTGATACTTCTATTGAACTACTGTTCTCTCTCTTTTCTCTTTCTTTCTTTCTCTCTCTTTCTCTAACTTTCAAACATCGGAGATGAGTTAGATTAGTTCACATGACTACAGCAATACTCTTCAATGAAAATTCCCATTTCAAATTCGTTTGTGGAAATACGGTAATAAACTGTGTTTGAAGAATCTAAACATCAAAAATTCGTGATAATTTTAAAAGAAAAATTGGCAAGTCTTTAAGTTTTGCAATATCGTAGCTATTTAATTAGAAGGTATCCACAGATTGTGATGTAATGTACTTTGAGAACGAAATGTGAATTCTTGGTACTCTTCATATGATTAGAAATTATTGACAAGTGTATTGCACAATATTATTTCGTTTCGTTTGTTTTATACTGAGAATACAAATTGTACTGAGAATAAATATTGCAATGTCGATAAATATCCAAGTGGATCGATACTACGGATACGACCTTTTCAAACAGAATTTCTCCCAACAAAGATGTTGATGTTCCACTCTTTGTTGACGTGTCCATAGTATCTCAAGGAAGTGGGAAGGCATTGTTAGCATGATCAAGACGTGCTCACAAGTCGCTTCTCTACCGATGACGGGACGCGTCTCCGGTGACCCGACGTCACCGAGGCGTCTCATGGTCCCCCCATCCCACCAACTTGATGGGGCGTGACAGCCAGAGCAGCAAAAGCAAGAGTCAGAGTAGATTAAACTCTGCTCATTATGGCCAGGCCCCGGCTGGTCCGACCGGCAGGGGCCAGACCCAGGCTCAAGGCAAGTCCAATTCTCCTCAGCCTGGGCATGCCACAGCTGCTCCGCCCGGCAGAAGCCAGGGCCTGAACAGATCAGGCTCTGCCCAATTTGGCCAGGCCCCAGTTACCCAGCAAGGTAGAACCCCAGCTGCACAGTCCAGCAGGGTCCCAACTCCTCAAAATCGCCCCACCTTAGCTGCTCAGCACAAGACATCAACGAGTCAAACTGGCCTTCCCTTGACTGCTCAGCACAAGTCTTCAACTCATCAAACTAATGTGCTCTCAACTCTGATTTACGGTAAGACTCGAGCCGCCCAAAATGACTTGGCCACTGGTGCTCAGCACAGCAAAGCCACAGTTACACAGCACGGCAAATCGCTGGCCGCCACGAAGGTGTCCTCCGCATGGGCGGGCACGCGACCTCGCGCCTTGGAAGGCAAAGCGTCGAAGACGTCGCGGGGCTCGAAGGCAGTCATTTCAGGCCCGTCGACCAGCCGCGGATCCAGCGTCGCGTCCAGTCGCGGTTCCAGCATTGCCTCCAGCCGCGGTTCCTCCAGCCGCGCCTCCAGCCTCGCCTCCGCCGCCTCCCGCGGCTCGATCTCCACCCTCGCGGTCATCGTCGCCCCGCCCCAACCCGCCAAGAAGCGCAGTCGCCGGCAGCGGCTGCTGGCCACGGCGTGCTTCCTGGCGGCGGTGGCGGCGGACGGCGCGGCCGAGGGCCTTCGGAGTAGCCTGAGAGGGGTCTCGCAGAGTTCCGAACCCAAGGCCAAGCGACCCACAAGAGTCAGTATTTCAGAGGTTGTCAAGCAAATAGCCATCGATGCAGTGCAGAGTATCGAAGATGGCGGGGAAGCCGTGGGCGAGGCGACGACCGCCGGCGAGGACGCGACCGCCGGCGAGGCGACGACCGTCGGCGAGGATGCGACCGCAGGCGAGGATGCGACCGCAGGCGAAGTGACGACCGCCGGCGAGGATGCGGCCGTCGTCGAGGATGCGACCGCCGGCGAGGATGCAGCTGTTGTCGAGGATGCGACCGCCGGCGAGGATGCGACCGCCGAGGTGGAGGCGACCGTCCAGCGAGGTGGAGCCGCCGTGGCCGAGGCCGCGTTCGAGGAGATCATGGAGAACGTGGGCGAGCAGCCGCCTCAAGCGGACAGCTTCTCAGTCGTGTCAGAGATCCTCGAGAAAATAACGTCGTCCTTCCTGATTGAGGATGATCTGTCTGAGACCGAGGATTCCGAAGAGCTCCCCGCCGAGCAGGAAGAAGTGGAAGTAGAGGAGTACGAGCCAGAACCGGAACCAGAAGTCGAACCTGAGTCGGAACCTGAATCGCCGCCTGAAGATGAAGGGGACGAGGACGGTGAACCCAAGTACCCGTGTCTCTGCCACCCGCAGAAGCTCTTCCTGTGCGTACCGGCGCCACGCGTCTTTCACTAGCCTAGACGCGACCAGTTCTCTTTACGAAGCACTGAGTCACTCGTCGGGGCTCGTGCTCGCCTCAGTCCGCCTCGCTTTTTATTTCTGGAGAAGGCTACGAGGGTCGTAAATGCAAATCAGGAAGGAGGCGGGGGGTGGGGGAGAGGAAACGCTGAAACGTATTCTTTATGGACTCCCGCGGAAATATTTCGGAGGCAGCGCTCACCGGAGCCTTGCCCCCCTGAGGTCGCGGAGAGTGGGTGGGTTGGCGGGCGAGGGGCGAGGCGGCAGCGCACGTTGGGGGGCACTTCGGAAACGCCCGCGCCCTCGTTTCGCCGGCGCGGTGCCGCAGCGCAGAGGAGCCGAGGGCGGGGAATGGTGCGGTGGAAAGGGTTGGCAGGGGAGGGGCCGGG